GAGTATCGTTTCTATGGTAACGCAACGTTCAATTTCAAAACGGTTTTCACAGGATGAATTCTGAGTTTGTAAACTTTCAAATGATACCTAATTTATGATAACTACTAAAATATGTGATGTAATAAAAAAAGGCGATAAAAAAAGATAATATTATATTTTAGAGGATAATATATATATTATACTTTTTAGAGGATAATATTATATTATAATTTTTTATTGAAAAATACTAGATTATGTTTTATTATGAACTTTTAGCATGAAAACCAAAGTTTCAATTATTAAAGGTGTGTGGGTCAACTTTTTGTGACAAAGGTCAGAACACCTTTTATGACGCAGATTTTTTTGAGGTGCACTCTTGTCAAAAATTCATCGGTTACTTTTCCTACACAATTTGTAGCAAAAAACAGCAGTCAAATATCTATTTAGAAGTCTTAGACCTTTCCAACCATATATAGTTTGTCATAATTAGATTAGGATTTAATAGTAATAAAGCGAAGTAAAGTTAGGCGTCCTGTATACGGGACGGTGACAGTTAAGGGGTTAACTTAAATTCAAAATAACTCACAATTTCATGCATAACGCTTTTCAGGGTTCAGCTCAAAATAAATCGAAATCCAGCGTCACGAGTCATGACTGGTCCGACTTACATCTGCGCTCAAAAAATTAATTTTGCCTCTTGTTCAATTAAAATAAGCTAAAGTAACATGATTTTTTTAACATTTTGTCACAACTTAATTTAATTATGTGGCTTACATCTGTGAGGACCACAAAAACAGCTCGATTACTTCATTATCTTCATCCTTCCCTCGCACTTTGTAACACATCTTTCCCTCGCGGGTCAAAATGACCCGAAGCCCTAAAATGATACTTTTCTTTTTTGTCCAGAAAGATTATATTATTTCATTTTGATAATATTTTTAGTCTGATTTTCTCTGTTCGGCAGCTTTCAGCAGTCTGTACAAAAACAATATACCTCAGATTTCTTGTCAAATGTAGTTGTACAGTCAATCTCAAAGCTCTTTCTCGTTTTAGGTGTGTGTTTACCAGTATTCACACTGAACCCCCAAGTGTGTGTAACCTCAGACACTCCGGCCAACGGTGACGTCACACGCATAAACTCTATTCTGTTATCAGTCACAACCCTCTACAATGTGAGTAAATCACTCGCATATGCGACCAAATTTCACGAGAAGCGACTAAAAAAATGGCCGGGATAATTATAAATCATCATGATGACTAGTGCGCATCTGAAGCGTCTCAGCTGAAGGAAATAATCCATTATTTATCGGCTCTAATATATATCGGACAAATTTTCTTATAGGACTGATAACATTAAAAATGAACATATATCGTGCATCCCTAAAAATGAGTCCTTTTGATCACAAGTTGGCTATTAAAATGCACTGGAAAAACAAAGATTATTGGAGTCTCACAAGAACATTAATTCGGTTACACTTTATTTTAAGGTGTCATTGTTACGGTGAAATTATATATTTAAGTACTGAGTAATATTATGCAACTACATGTACTTACTATAGGGTTAGGGTGGGATTAGGATTTGGTTAAGGGTTAAATGTATGTAATTAAGCATAATTTACTGTTATTACTACATGTTACACCTCACTGTAAAATAAAGTGTTACCGAACATTCAATAATTCAATGTGTTCCTTGGCAATTCTGTGTACTTCCTGAAATTTACAAGTAATTTCTGAGTGATAATCGTTTCTGCATCAGAAACATCAGCCTTGACTGACTGAAGTGTAACACTGTAACGTGCATTTCCCTCCATTATGGATCTGTTGATTTCTGCAGCGTTACACATGAACACAAATGATGTTACAGAGACTCGTTTAGTCTGTTTACTACAAAACATGCACTGAAATTCAAACATTAAGCTTTATGGGGGAGAAATAGCATCATACTGTGGTACTACATGATTACCAGTGTCATATACAATGTATTTACATGATACTAAAAAAAACTTCAAAGAATTTACCATGGTACAGGTTCAAACACATGGTAGTTTCTCTTAGTGGCTGACTGTATGCAAACCCGCCTTTACTTTGCAAATGTGCCAAATATACAAACACTAGCATGTGAAATATGAGTTACTATGATAATTTTACTCACAATCGGATCTCTAACAGGTGAAAGTGTTTTGTCGTAAACACTTAACGTTACTACTCCAGAGTCCACGGCGGATTTCACGCTCCCTCCGAGAATGAGGATTGACACTGAGATGAGTTTAATTCACAACAGAAGAGTTTGAGCAGAATTACTGGATCCTTTATGAATTCTGATCATCACACACACTGAATAACACCAGGAACTGAAGCTAGCGAACAAAGGGGCTACCGCGCGATCCGCATCCGCACATTCACCAATCCTCCACACTGGAACCGGAGTTTTTAAAAGTATTTTGGCGACAGTATTTCTAATTCGTAACATACAGTCAGTCAACGCAGATATTTGATAAAATCCAACCAGAACTCTCCATATGTCCTTGATTATTTTTACGCTTCTCTCTATACTGACGAATCAGCCGTCGGCTGTCGCGCGGTTGCCCTGCTGCGTCTGTACATTTAGGATGCGAGTAGAAAAACAAATAATGCTGCAAGTAATGTTGGATTAGTGTTATTTTAGCTGTAATATTTGGATTGTTTATATAGAATAAAGCATATTGGCTCTAATTAAAGGGCATTACAGTGGTGCGAATATGAGTGGATTGGGTGTGTGAACGCTTTGCATCAGATATTTGAATGTGTCGCATGAGCGCAGTGGCCGGTCCTGCCCTGCAGAGGGCGCTGCTTTACCTACATCAATCACTGCATATTAACAAATAAACATGTTTACTGCTGTTTACTTAAAGGGATAGTTCCCCCAAAAATGAAAAGGCTGCCCATTCTACAGGTTTGGAATAAACTTGAGGGTAATGGTTAATTTTTGGGGGAACTTTCCTTTTAAAAAGTCGACACAAGAACAAATGTAGGGCTTGGGAATTTATTGGATGGTTGTGGTTTGCTATTGGTTGATCTCATGTGAGTGACAGGTGTCACCTCAAATTGTTTCAAAGCAGCTTCACAGTGATAATAGGAAAATAATGCACCAAAGATTGTTTTGGGTTTACAGCAGCTCTAGAAGAAAATCATTATCTAGCTTAAGTAAGATTATGATTGATTCATTTCCGTCGTAAAAAATCATTAGTTATTAACTTAGGGGCCACTCACACAACACCGTTTTCAACTGAAAACAGAAAACTTTTAATGGGTTCTGGCTGTTTATTTACACAACAACTGCGTTTTGGTGGCCTAAGAACACAAACTTTGAAATAGGTTTCAAAGTGCAAGTTTTTGAAAAAGAGATTTGAAAGCGATACCGCTATCATCTCCGTGTAAACTTCAAAAACGTGAATCTGTGTAAACGGTGACGGCATGCACATGCGTATTACTTGTTTAGTTTATAGGCATGCTCGTTTGAATGTGTGTGCGTGGGCGCGTAGTGTTTCTTTTACAAATTGACATTGCCAAATTATTTGACTGGGATGAATTATACAGTGTTTTTAGTCGTTTCCGCGGATCCGTGTGAACGGGAATCATTTTGATAACGGTTTCATCTGTACAGGGGAAAAAACGTTTGTCTTAAAAAACCTTTTGTTGTGTTAATGAGGCCTTTGCAGGGGAGTGTCTAGTTGAAACGGTCTCTGCTAACACTTTAGGGATGTGTTGTGGCCGTGTCTAGGCGCAGGTCCTCCATCTAATCTGGATACGGCCCGGATCCGGCTGACTACATCATGCGTTGTGGCCGTGTCTAGGCGCAGGTCCTCCATCTAATCTGGATACGGCCCGGATCCGGCTGACTACATCATGCGTTGTGGCCGTGTCTAGGCGCAGGTCCTCCATCTAATCTGGATACGGCCCGGATCCGGCTGACTACATCATGCGTTGTGGTTGTGTCTAGGCGCAGGTCCACCATCTGATCTGGATACGGCCCGTATCCGGCTGACTACATCATGTGTTGTGGTTGTGTCTTGGCGCAGGTCCACCATCTGATCTGGATACGGCCCGGATCCGGCTGACTACATCATGTGTTGTGGTTGTGTATAGGCACAGGTCCACCATCTGATCTGGATACGGCCCGGATCCGGCTGACTACATCATGTGTTGTGGCCGTGTCTAGGCGCAGGTCCTCCATCTAATCTGGATACGGCCCGGATCCGGCTGACTACATCATGCGTTGTGGCCGTGTCTAGGCGCAGGTCCTCCATCTAATCTGGATACGGCCCGGATCCGGCTGACTACATCATGCGTTGTGGCCGTGTCTAGGCGCAGGTCCTCCATCTAATCTGGATACGGCCCGGATCCGGCTGACTACATCATGCGTTGTGGTTGTGTCTAGGCGCAGGTCCACCATCTGATCTGGATACGGCCCGGATCCGGCTGACTACATCATGAGTTGTGGTCGTGTCTAGGCGCAGGTCCACCATCTGATCTGGATACGGCCCGGATCCGGCTGACTACATCATGTGTTGTGGTTGTGTCTAGGCGCAGGTCCACCATCTGATCTGGATCCGGCCCGGATCCGGCTGACTACATCATGTGTTGTGGTCGTGTCTAGGCGCAGGTCCACCATCTGATCTGGATACGGCCCGGATCCGGCTGACTACATCATGAGTTGTGGTCGTGTCTAGGCGCAGGTCCACCATCTGATCTGGATACGGCCCGGATCCGGCTGACTATATCATGCGTTGTGGCCGTGTCTAGGCGCAGGTCCTCCATCTAATCTGGATACGGCCCGGATCCGGCTGACTACATCATGCGTTGTGGTTGTGTCTAGGCGCAGGTCCACCATCTGATCTGGATACGGCCCGGATCCGGCTGACTATATCATGCGTTGTGGCCGTGTCTAGGCGCAGGTCCTCCATCTAATCTGGATACGGCCCGGATCCGGCTGACTATATCATGCGTTGTGGCCGTGTCTAGGCGCAGGTCCTCCATCTAATCTGGATACGGCCCGGATCCGGCTGACTACATCATGCGTTGTGGCCGTGTCTAGGCGCAGGTCCTCCATCTGATCTGGATACGGCCCGGATCCGGCTGACTACATCATGCGTTGTGGTTGTGTCTAGGCGCAGGTCCACCATCTGGTCTGGATACGGCCCGGATCCGGCTGACTACATCATGCGTTGTAGCCGTGTCTAGGCGCAGGTCCACCATCTGATCTGGATACGGCCCGGATCCGGCTGACTACATCATGCGTTGTAGCCGTGTCTAGGCGCAGGTCCACCCTCTGATCTGGATACGGCCCGGATCCGGCTGACTACATCATGCGTTGTGGCCGTGTCTAGGCGCAGGTCCACCATCTGATCGGGATATGGCCCGGATCCGGCTGACTACATCATGCGTTGTGGTTGTGTCTAGGCGCAGGTCCACCATCTGATCTGGATACGGCCCAGATCCGGCTGACTACATCATGCGTTGTAGCCGTGTCTAGGCGCAGGTCCACCATCTGATCTGGATACGGCCCGGATCCGGCTGACTACATCATGCGTTGTGGCCGTGTCTAGGCGCAGGTCCACCATCTGATCGGGATATGGCCCGGATCTGGCTGACTACATCATGTGTTTTGGTTGAGTACAGTAAACTTTGGGATAAACAGAGAGACTAATATTATCAAGCCTTAAAGGAGCCACGCCTTAAAAACAGATAATTTCAGAAATAATTGTCTGAATTGTTGAAAATAATAGTTTTTCCACGTATATAGGCCTATGTGTGTGTGTGTGTATCTGTGTGTTTTTGTGAAAAAAAACTTTATTAACATTATAAGAGAACCTCAAGGAACATATTAAAATACTTTACAAAAATAAATGTCATGACCCCTTTAAGTTAAACAACTATTTCCAAAAACAGGAACTGCTTAAAGATAGCTTCAGATTTTATCTTCTCAAGGATAATGGACTACAATTTGTAAGTAGCTTATCTACCCTGCACTGGTCATAACAATGACTTTTTTGTCAGAATTAAGATTTACAAGTCTTTTCATGTTTTTTTTTTTTTCATATGTGGAAAAAATGGGCTTCCATAGAGAAGAGAAAAAACACAAAGACTGTTATTCCATCCAGTTTGTCATATGATGCTGCTGGTTCATGAGGCTCTTGTCCTGAGGGAGAAAATGATCAGTCATAGGCCTACACAAGAAACCCATGATGACTCGCTCATTGTTTAGACTTCACTACCTCTGGTTGTCTCGATAATGGTTATTTTAAAGTATCGATTAATATTTTGTATTTTTTAAATATATCAGTTATTCCCAATAACACCCTCAAAATTTACACAGTTCCACTGAATCGTCGAAAAGAATCGACTCAAAAGAACGATTCGTTTGCTGATCGGACCACAGTAATAGAGTCAGTTCACTCAGTTGTCGGTGGAGATTGAGAAATGCAAAACCATTCGAGAGACGGAGAACGGAAAGATGGATCGACATCAGGACAAATGAAGGGGAAAACGGCTCATATCACATCAACACATAAAGTCGGAGAAAGTTGCAGACGATGCGAGGAATCAGCGCGAGCGGTCAGTGTCTCTTTCTCTCATTCACACTGTAGGGAAGATAATAGTGTCAGTGCGAGTTGAATCTGGTTTATCGCTCTCGCTCTTCAAATTTGTGAGGTTAGGATAAACAAAAACAGACACAAATGTGTGCATGCAGTGAGCTGAAGTTAATGTGGACAGAAGCTCAGTTGGATGAGTTACTGAGATCTGACTTTTGGTTCTGAATTCATGCTGAGATCTCTTAGAGACATGAGTAACGTGAGCCTATTTTAGGAGATGTGTGAGAAGTAGCCTTTCTTTGCTCTCAGGTTAATCTCATTGTTGTCCAGCTTGAGAGATGAAGGAGATCTGGTTTGAGATGTTTGCTCTTGTCTTCTGCTTCATTGTGCATGAACTTTCACCTTTGATGAACTTTCTTCATAAGCTGTGAGGGAAACAGTACAGTTTTCATTACTGTAATACTCAGTTGCAGGTTTGCTGTTAGTCCAAAAGTTGTCACTCACCCACCATCAAAAACATCAATTCAATTATATGAGAGATTCATAGAGCAATCAATATGCTCAGACTGTTTAGTGATCAGAGATCTTCAGCTTGATGCTTGATGATTATAATGTCTTTTTACATGCCTTCATCTGATGTCTTACATTACTGCATAATCACAAATCTGTTTCAGTAAGAGCTCTTGCCGGACTGAAAGAAGATTTGAGTTCTGAAAGTTGCGTACATCAAGTATTTTTTTTTTTTTTGTAAGCAGTTTTTTCCCTTTTTTTGTACACAACAAGGGGTTTTTCTTAACAAGTGGTTAAGAAAAATTTACGTAGAAAAGTAGGAAGAAATAATACTTATTTTATTTAAATAACAATAACACAACCATTAACAACAACTGTTACATGAGGTCTTACAAGGAGTCGGAAACTCTGGATAGAAGTAGAAATTGTGCTCTAAAAG